CATCGAACGATCTGAAAGCAGTCTGAAGTTTCTATATTTATTTATTTTGATTTACGATTGGTACTGTTTTTTAATGACATAATTAATTTATCAAGTATTAATTTTTATTAAATCACGTATTTGTTATTAAATGTGTAATAAAATTATCGAGTTTATAATCCTATTTATTTAAAATTAATTCGGAATACTTTGGACTCGTCGATTATCCTGATGCACCACTATTTTTTTATTGATATTATTTAATAGTTTCCGTATTATATTTTTTTGAATATTCAAGAGAGAGATGCTTAATATAACGTTTTATTAATGATTTAGTTTAATTGTGACACGTGAAAGTTTAAAATTACATGCTCTTTTATTTGACAGTTCTAAAAAGTTTTTATATTTTACACACACTCTGATGCTCGTGAAAATAAACCTAATTTATTGAATAATGATTCGAGTTAATTTTAATTGTTATTTAATTTTATATGGGTTTAATTTAATTTGTGTGTTTTATATAAACTTTAATTAATAAACTTTGCACGATTAAATAGGCAATTATTGCTAACTTCATAGATAAGAAATTAAGGAATAGGCAATTATGGCTAACTTCATTATAGTCACAACGGATTATGTGTGAACAACTTGAAGTTTTTGTTTTTTCTATTTCTATGTTGGTACACTCCCAGTCCTTATTGACAGATTGAGTTATAATTAAATATTATAAATTTTATTAGTTCTCATAAGTGTTATTTTAAAGTGCAATAATTATTAATTTCCTAATCTTATTTATTAAAAATCGCTAGCGCCATCCATTATTCTGATTTTCCTTTGAATCTGTTTTATCGACATAAGTTTTGCTAAGTGCTGTCACTTCTTTACATAACCAAAGCGAATAAGTTAAAATCGGAGCTGTGAAATCGAAATAATTGTTAAAATGTCTGATATAGAAGAACATTATGCCATAAATTGTTAACAAACAATTTCAACCGGGAACCTTCAATAGTTACAAAATGGGCTATACCTGTATCGTTCGCAGGTTTGGCTTTTGTTGGAACTTGTGTGGCTAATATGCTGACTAAAAAACCAATGATGTCAGGTAAATGGAATTGATACATTATTTTTGATATAATATGTAAATATGTAAAATAAAAATCTAAATGTTCATTCATTAGTAGCTTATTTAAAATAAAGATTGCGTTATAAGAGAGGTCGATGTTATAAAAGTCTGATATAAAATAATTTTGGATCTTTATTTGTGTGTGTTTATTTTCTACAGATCTGTAGAATATATATATATATATATATATATATATATATTATTTATTTATTTTTTAGGCATTCAGAAACACATCCTTCTGACAGCTAGTTTTGGTGGATTTGGTTATATCGCAGATAAATATCGTAATGATTATTATGCAGAAAGAGATGCTATGTACCGACATTATATTTCTTTACATCCTGAAGATTTTCCAGAACCAGGTATGAATAAACATAATTCATTGCTTGTATAATGTAGAATTTGTTACAAAGAGATTGTTTTAATCTCGCTACTTTCCATGCATGCTGGTGTATTATATCATATATTATTTTTTAAACATTTTACTGAAACTTGTGTGGCCTTTTTGACTTTATTTTATTATTATTCTCATAATTACAGCACAAAGTAAGTCTTTTTGTCTCTAATTTTTTTTATATACTTTATTTAATACCCATCCATTAGTCCAAGCACGATATATAACATTTTTTATTTTTTGTTTATTTTATTTTATGGTAGTTTTGCACTATAAATATTAGTAAACGAATTGTTTTGAGTTTTGTGTAAAGCATGAGAGTAACAGTGTAAGAAAGTTTAGTGACATTCATTGAAGTTAAAAGAAAATTGTGAGTAGATTTTTCATTTCATTTTTCATATCATACTATCATGAGTTATAATAGTAAATTATGAAAAATAGATATTATTACTATTGTATATGTGTTCATTTTTCAGAGAGGAAAAAGTATGGTGATCTATTTCTACCCTGGACACCTATTCGTTAAGAAAATTGTTCTGCACTTATTAGATACATAATCCAAAATGTAAATATAACACAAATAATTATATTGTACTAATTTATACAATTCATTATGTAGAAACTTATGATGAATAAATAAATGGCTTGATTTAGAGAATAAACATAATTGCTAAATTTTTATTCAAACAACAATACTTGTTCTAAAAAATTTATTTCTGTTTGGTAACGATTTTATCATTACAATTCGCAATGATAATAAACATTCCAACACATTTCTAGCACATGTATTTTTTAATAGAGTGGCATAATGTTAATAATTATGGCAAACATTCATACATGTTGAATTCATAAACAATCTATTAAATATAAATAAAATATTAAAATTATTTTAAATTTTCTGGAACATAATTGTCCACACCCGCAATACCGGTGCCTTCGGCATCGCCTAACCATGGATAGATATTTGGGCATTCTTCACATGTTTGCATGTACCTTGTATCTGTAAAATTAGCATCTGCTGTTTTGAATGGAAGTGCACATTTATTTGGATTACTACATGGTTTTGATGGAATTGTTGGTTTTCGGGTATTGCATTTCCATGCTTCGTAGTTATTGAGTTGATTCAAAGGTTTTGGATCAGTTATCCAGGTTAAAGCTTGTGTCACTGTTACAAACCACACATCGTCTCTGTAATTGTAAAAATAATCATTTCAAATAAATTGTAAAACCATTAACAAATTTTCTTGTTTATGATATAATTTCACTTACAATCCTTGTGCCCAATCGAGGAATTTGTGAAGACCTTCTTCAAGTTCTTTGATCTGGAACCAATTTGTGTGGAATGGCATCATGTAAGGTGCTTTGTTCTGTTCATAATGTCTTGCAAAATCTTCCTGAAGCCATTCGAACACTTCTTCAGCATCACTATTGTGGAGAACGCATTGATCCAAATATGGGCAATGACCACCCTCATAACTTTCAATGAAATGGGCGTTCAAAGGAACTTCCCATACACCTGTAAAGATAAATGATATAATATTTATTATTAATATCAGAATTAAAAAAAATAATTAAATTACTGACCAGGGAAAGTCTTTGATGGACAAGTACCACTTTTGCATTCATGTGAAATTTTATAATCTAAAGTGTAAGGCCACACAGGTACTGCAGATGGTGGTACGCCGATTGAACTATCGTATATATATCCAAAGTCTTCCACAACCTAAAATATAAAAAACACACTGTTTATAAACTGGCAAAAAAGCTATTATTATTTTCCTCGAACCTTGTATTGAGTATTTCTTCCGGGTTTAAGGAAAGGTGCTCTCATACCCACGACTTCTGAAGATGTAACATTTGCAAAGTGTTTCAAAATAGCTCTCATTCCAACCATTTCACCAACCCATTCCTCGTAACCTTTGTCCTGAAGGCCTTGTTGCAATGAAACTGTTTCTGTTGCTATTTCGTGGGATTCAGAGGCCAATGTTTGAATCATATGGTAATTGCTAAAATATTAAAGAAACAAATAATTGAAATGGTGTTCTCTGAAAAATGTTGGCGTGGCAATAATTTGTTACCTGTATTCGTGTGCTATGAAGAATGTTCCTTTTATATCACATCCATTAGGATTTTGTCGTTTTCCATTGAAAACTTTTTGGTAGTGATAAAAGTTGTTCAAATTGACTGCACCGTCGAAAGTCAACATGATAATTTGAGGAATCTAAAAGGACATCACGGAATTATATAAAAAGCCGGTTTTTACATTAAAGTAGTGATTAATAATGGGTTTACTTACTTCTTGTGGATCATAACCTCCAGGAATGCTGGTTCCATCCTTGGAGCAGAAGCAATAAGGCAGTGAGCAATTTGCTGGATTACATTTTACAGCTAGATCAGTCGGAGTTTCAGTCACTGGCGCAGGAGCTACGCTTAAAAAATCGTATCATCAATAATAAATCTACAATCTTCCAGAAAATATGTAGCAACAGAATAATATTTTAGTATAAATTTGGAAGTTAACTTTGAAATTAAAGTATGTTGGGTTAAAATCTTACTAGAAGCCAATGGTCCACATCTTGCTTCTGCCTTAAATGTACAAAATTTGCTAATATCGTCGAAATACAGTCCTGAAGGACATCTGTTCACATAAGGATGACCATCCACACACTGAAAAAAATGGAAAATGGTTTAAAATATTTGTTTATATTATTTATTAGCATTATACAAAAAATATGAGAAACTAGAATATTAGAAACCTATTGAGAAATTGGATATAAACGCAGTGAAGCCCCAGAAGTGATTTAGCTGATAAATAGTACACGAAACCTTTTTAAAATACTGAATTCAAAAATTTTGACTGCATTCTACTTCGCTTCTCCGTACAATAAACGAGAAATTTCTTTTTTATTGATCAACTGATATCGGAATTTTACAGCACTGACTTAATTACAATAATTCATAAGTCGCATGTTACAATTTACATAATCCGAAGAAAGTTTATTGAATACATGTTATTGAAAGTGAAACACATCGTGTCAAGAGGTCAGCCAATTTAATTCGGGATTTTGATCATAATCGTAAAACATCTTGTAATAGAAAGAGCAATCAAAATAACATGTTAGAACTAAATGCTATGTAATAAAAATTTATTGTAAATAAAATAAAAATGTATGCAAAGTAAATTAATCGTTGGGAATAATCCTTAATGGAACTGGTTTATCAACTGTCGTTCGGTGGTAATTAGTTTATTATTCGTTGTTTTTTACAATAAATAATCTACGCCCATGACATAGTTGGTCGTGATTGAAAACAATAAATATATGTGTAAGAATGTGCATCGATGTGAATGACTTGGCGCTACTTGTTGCTCTAACATTCACACGACTTATTTGTAATTTCAAATGCGTTGCACCATATGGAATGCAAGTGGAGGTTCAAGGTATATATATGGTTCTTCTACAACCAAATCAAAAACGCGTCTTAAGCAGGAAACAGATTTTGAGAAATAGAGACCGGTGTAATATGCAGGAAATCGTATCAAGCATAATCGTCTTAACGGGGTTCTAATATATAGTACTTGAACTTCATGTGTTTATTCACAACTCATATTGACTAAATTCGGTGGAAAAATATTGAATTCTTCAGGCATCATTTCGTTAAGGAACTCCCAAGGCCGTTTCATCTTCCTTAGCAACCATTTATTTTTTTGTCGTTACCTCTATATATTCCTCATGTAAATAAAAAACTTGAATATTGAAATTTTTATACTTTAATTATTTTAATATTTGTTTCTAGAACTACTTGGTAGAGAACTATGATGCTATAGCACATATTAGAAAAACCATCAAAGAAGTAGTTACATATTAATAAAATTTTCAAAAATAGCAATAATTACTTTAAACAAGAATTGATTAGACAGAAATTGCTTTAAAAATATACGCCAGAGTCTTGATCCAAAGATATAGCTATAATTTAATGCTATAGCCCATTTTCATAGATATTTTTTCTGGTAAATTTATTTCTGCAAATGCATTATTTTTGGATACACCAATCGGTTTGTATTCTTCATAATTTCATATCGTACCTGATAAAACCTTCTACATGTTTCGGGATCTGCAAAATTTCCGTTACCGGTTTGTTCTGGGCAGGTGAAATTTTTTTCCGCACTATCTGAAAATCAGAAAATATTTTAAATTGATAATCTAATGAAAGAAAATTATTTATACATTGATATTATTTGATTGATACTCAATATCAATAAAAAATTGTAAAATATCAAAATATGTGGGTGCCATTCAGAACAAATAAAGAATTGCAGTATTGTTCAATACAGTAACAATAAATGAAACAGATAATTACTATGCAATTTTAAATAGATTGTTTGTATTTTTAATAATTTGATGGATACCTGTTAAAATCTTTTTGCTTATTATTAGCATGTGTGTTTGTCCATATGCATATGTTTATCCCTATATATCAGAATACACTAAATTGATTATTTATATAAAATTTCCTCTTGTCTAATAAAATATAGAGTTTAATATAATCCATTCATCGGATTTGCGCAGCAACTACTTTGTTCATACATTTTGCCTGAAATAGCAAAACAAACATAACGACTATAAAAAGCAATGTTTTAAACAAATAAGCAAATCGAGACGATCATTATCTTTCGAATAATTCATCGGTAATGCTCTCGCACACACTTTCTTTTCTCTATAATGCCGCGAGTGCTTATTCATTCATCTTCACTTTCTTATTATAATCATCAGCTGGTTTTACTTCTTGTTAACTTTATAAAGTTTTTTCTACAGGAATTTGTTATGCATACAAACACCTAGTTAAACTTTTACATTAAATATCAAGACGGTGAGTTCGATAAAAATTGATTCAGAAAATTTATTAAGTTTTATGAACTTTTGTGTTGAAAATTGTAGAAACAATGATGGCATTTTTGCAAGGTTTTGATTAGTTTTAATATTTTCACAAAATTTTGTGAAAAATTGTCAAGAAAAATGGTACACTTCAAATTTGTATTACAGATGAAAATCATAATATCCATACAGGGTTGAAGGGCTTTTATTGCTCTCTATGAATGATATAAAAGCTTATGAATAACATTTTTCCAAATTTCAGATTTACTTGCACTCAATTTAAAAAATAATGTTTTATCATATTTAATTAAAATGCTTAAAAATGATATCAAACATGTTTCAGATTCTTGAACTTTTATGCTCATATTTTAAAAATGATTTTCCTGAATACAATTTCACTTGAAAGCTTACAAATGTCTTTAAAAATTACTTCCAAGTTTTGGATTTTCTTGCTCAAAATTTATATTAAATTATATTTAAAGAAAAAGCTTACAAAAGATCTATAAACATCTTTTCAAAAAGCGAATTTACTGACTCCAATTTCAAAAATTAATTTTCTAAGGATCAAACTAAATATTCATTTGAAATGTGCTGTTTCTTGTATTTTTTATCTAAATTTTACCCTTTGAATAATTTTTGAAGTAGTCTGAAAGAAAATTCTGAAACTCGGATTGTGGTATAATTCAAAATTCAGAACACTTATCGAAATTGTATTAAAAACTGAATATTCTGTTCTTAGTACTATTCTAATCAAAAGCTCGTAAAATTTTTAATTTACTTGGT